TTTTATTGACTTTGCATTCTATATCCCCTGCTCAGCTGTCCTGTGAGCTAAATAAATGAAATAAATATAATATGGAACCAATCTTTGGGGGACGTCTTGGTTTGAAATCCTGTTACTTTCGCTTAAAACAATAAAGCAATTAAACGTTGTTTACCTGTATTAATCAGTCCATTTTATCCTCTTCTTTTCAATAACCAGAAAACGAACGACTTAACAGACATTACTTCCTGTTTCGCTTTCGTTTTTAACGGGAGAATTAGTTATTTTATTTTAAGGGTGATTGGAAAAGAGATATCTCTTTCATTAAAAGAGATATCTCTTTAGCTTAGAAAGATATCTCTTTTTGAAAATCTAAAGAGATATCTCTCTAATGAAGAGAGATATCTCTCTTAAACGTGTTAAAGAGATATCTCTCTAACTTTAAGAGATATCTCTCTCGCTTAAAGAGATATCTCTCTAGCTTATAAAGATATCTCTCTTACTAAAAGAGATATCTCTCTTTCAAAAAGAGATATCTCTTTTGTTGAAAGAGATATCTCTCTAAAGTCTAAAGATATCTCTATTAGTCAAAGAGATATCTCTATAAGCTAAAGAGATATCTCCATAAGCTAAAGAGATATCTCTCTATGCTAGAGAGATATCTCTCATTTTGAAAGAAAAAAATATTTTACGAATAAATAGTAAAAGGGCTTGCCATACTAGTATGTATCTTTCGATGTTCTGTCATCACTTTTTAGTATAATACCCAAGAACATCTACGAACATATAAGCGAGTCATGTGTATTTCTTCAGCGTCGTGCATTGCTTACAAAATCGAAAAACAGTAACGTCATTAGAGCCATTTCAGCGTTTTTCCTCATAATTGTCGTAAAATTACATTTTCAGACCAGTAGGCGTTACAGATAATGTTAATTTTATATTAAAATTACAATGTTTTGGAAAGGTGTACTGTCACACTTACAGTGTATGACTGCATGAAAACAAAAAGCTGCGCAAAGTCATGCGCACTCGAATTAGACTCGGCCTCGTTAAGAGCAAGCCCTTGCGTATCGAATAAACTGAGTGATGTTATTCCCGTATGCAGGTAAAGGTATGTCGCTACAAAAGTAAGGAAAACTGACGATATAAAAATCAATAAGTTTACTATGATAAATATTTGTTGTTATATTACCATAAATGTCTTTTTCTAGCCCTAGGTGTATCAGGCTCTGTGGTATCACAGGCACCTGAGGTGTGCATTATAGCCCCCCCCTTTTTTTTAATGAAAAAAATATGTAAGATTGTATAATATATCAAAAATATAAAAATTTCCCCGTCAAACACATCCATATTTTGTTCTATGCAAGCAGATTGTAAATTTCTCACGTTCAAGGAATGGCCTTATACGGTATAAAAAAATTATGTTTTAATATATACATGTACACTGTATTTTTATTCGGCCATAGAACTAATGAAATGACTTTAAGTGCGACTGTTGATATTTTTGTCCATCAACTTGTTTTTAAATAGCTTGTCTTTTTTCTATTTTTTTATAAATTGTACATAAGTAGAGCATGTTCTAGCGTATTGAATCTACTAAGAGATGCACCGCATATGCAGGAGGAAAGAGTATGTTATAGGATTAAATGTTCTTTTCTCAGAATTTATCGATGTGTAAACTCTGCCTTTTTACTCACAAACTGAATAAAAGAGCGAAGCACTTTTATGTAAAGTTTGTGAGTAAAAAGGCAGAGTTTACACATCGATAAATTCTGAAAAAAGAACATATAATTCTTATAATTCCAATTACGAATTTTTAAAATCATTAAAATTGTACGACGTAGGAATACTTTATGCCGCAAAGAAACGTATACAAGATGAATATCGATAAAATCCAACTTAAATTGTCAAAACAATCAATAGATAAACTTATAAAAACTCAACAAATATAATAAATACGCGTCTTCTCCAGAATAATTTGTCCTTGACCATGACCATGTTGACATTAACGACAACACTCATGGCGAAAGTTGCAGACCGACGACGTCCTCGATTTGCTCTGGTTCGTTCAAAGATTTACGGAGAATATGGGATCTGTAGGATGTAAATATGTAAATTTGATGCTGATGAGGCAAGAGTCTGAGGTACGTTTCTTTTCCCTATCACAACGATACCAACTGAGCTGATATGGAGCGTCGAGAAAATGACAGCATGATCAGCGATTTTTTTAAAATTCACAATCGTGATCCGACAGTGACATAAACATAATATTCCCGTCTGTCAGTCCTGTTTTGTTGTAGCAAAGCGAACGACAACTCTGGGTAGAGATTGCTGTTTTCATTGTTTTTACAACAGTCTAGTAGCTAGGTCAAGAAAGTAGAGAAAGTAGTTCAGTCTGATTGAAAAATTCATCGATGTGTAAACTTTTTCTTGAATTTGTTCTCGTCCAATCAAAACACAGGGAATCAATAAATAAAATTAAGATTGGAATTATTGCTGTATAAGTATCACTATGGGAACTTTGTTATTGAAAAGGCATCATGTTTATCATAAAGCTTCGTTCTTGGGTTACCATTGACGTCTTTTTCTAGTAAAAGATACAGATATAAAAGAAATGTATCAGATTCTGTGGTATCTTTAATCTCAAGCTGACTGGGATATATCATGTCGACATATGAATGAAAATAACTATTGTTGATTGGTAATGTAATAGGTCGCGAAATATCTAAATGTCGACTTGAAGGGCACAGCAAGTGTTTTCTTCTTCTCATGTATTTGAACAAAGTCTGCTTTATATGAACACTAAAAGGTCTGATCTCCAATAAATAGTTGAAAGACTTGATCTCCACAAACCACACCGATATTGTCAATCAGAAACTGTAGCATCCTTTCTATATCAGCTTCAGAGTACTTAAGCATGTAATCAGATTGCTTTTAACAAAATAATTTTGCAAATGACCAATGGCAAGGTTAGGTAATTAACGAGTTCTATTTTTTATTGAAAAAGAAGCTGTTAATGATATCAAAGAGCCCGGACTTTGATTTGTCGTGAGAAATGGTTGTATATTGAGTGGGAAAATCATAAGTTTTTTCTGTAATTGATTTTGGTTGAATTATGTAATTTAAAATTTTCCAAAAGATTTTTTAAGTATTCACACGTGATTTACGTCACTTTTTGATATCTATTGTTGCTCTATATTCCTAGAGTTTCTTTTTCGCTTTTGTATATTTATATTATATTATAAATACTATCTTGATATGGAGTAAAGAAAGAAGTTTGTTAGAACATTTACTGGAACCCGTTATGTATGTATTTGTAAGGATTTTATGAAGTCTCGGAATCCAATATAGATGTGATATTTATGCTCCCAATCGAAGAAGGGAAGACATACTGCATTGCTGTCGTCTTTTGGTCGGTTCGTCTATTTGTCTATCTGTTGGTCCACCAAACATTTCTGTCTTTTTTCTTCGCAGAGGATGTACATTCTAAAATAAAATTTGGTATACAAATTTATCATAATATCTAGGTCAACTTCTGTTTGGTACAATTGATCGAACAATTTTTTGACAGAGTTATGCTCCTTCGACTTTGGGTACGATAGAGCAATTGGATTAAGAAACATTTAAATTATATGGTAGGGAGCATAAGTTTTTTCAAAAAACATCTCTAGTTTAAATCTTGGTTGGCAGGAATATTAAGAAATATTCAAAACTAACATAGGATTTTGAAGAAATTTCTCCGTAGGAACGGATGTTTGGGTATAAATTTGATTACCACTTGAAGAATTGAATCCCAGAACTTCTAAAATATAATTAATATAATGTAGTCACCTGCTTTGTCATCTGGGACCATTCCATACTTATCGTGTAATCTTATTTTTTTTTCAAAACTCACTTATTAAACAAGAAGGATAAAATTATTTTCATATTGGCCCCCAGTCGCTTTAACGCGAGATTTTAACATACATCTGATAAATTAAATCCATTCTGTCAAAGTCTCAAGGTCTTCTTTTCAGGTCTAACCCACTTCCAGGGAATTCAAAACTTTTATGAAATTATGATGCCAGATGAAAGATCGGTGTTGCCTAACTTTTGACCTTTTCAAATAAGTGATTTAAGGTCCTAATTATTAATATATTTTATACGTCACCAGTAATAACGTGTCCAGCAGGACAGAACTTTAGTTAAATCTAGCTTAAAATCTGTTATTATTTGTAGCAGGTGCTCTTAATGAAGTTAATTTTTCAATGTGTTCTGTGATGACCTTTGAGAATACATGTCACTTCATTACTTTAATTCGTTAAGTGTCCATTATCAATCTATGCTATCTATTGCCAAACATAAAACTTCATAGATCGTATCAGCAAATTAAGATAGCAGAGGTTGTTCACAACTTTCTCGAGGATCAAAGTTGGTAAGTGCAAAGGGAAACGTTTCCTTTAGAAGCATGTGGTCATGAATTGTCCTAATTTCCCAAATATCCATTCTATAATTGTTTCAATGCAAAGGGATGAATGAGTATAATAACTAATACTAGTATATTGTAAAGACCAAAACAGTATTCAAAGTGAGGATTCAATTTTATTCAATTACCAGTTAACTAACAGATAGGGAAATAATCATATTTTTATATAGAGTAATAAAAAATATACAGTGTATTGAAAAAATATTTCATTTATTCATTACATGTACTTTTAAACAGTTCATGCCGACATTAAAAATTTGGCGTAAACCTTGATACACTTCTTCCGTCTAACGACAATTTTGATTGGTTAAAAATGATAGTGTACATATAGTCCTCGAGAAAAGCTCTGATTTCTTCAGAATTGTGTATTTTCATTTTTTGAATTTTTTCATTGATTAAAAGAACAGTTTTGCTCTATTCATTACATAAAGAATAATGACAAACATGGATTTATAATGAAGGCGAGGATTCATTAAAGAGTAATAGATACACATATTATAAACAAAACATTTTTATATTGAAAATAATGATATATACTTTTAAGATTCTTTGAGATGTAAAGATATTGATCGGAAAGATTTTACTTTATTCTTTCATTTTTCTTTATTATCAGTAGACATTGAGCTTTGTGAGTCCTGTAGAACCCTCAGTAGACAGTTAAATAAAAGCTAGCTTCATGATTCTTGTTGGCTTTACATGTGTATCTCCCAGCGTCACTTAGACGTACTTCCGGTATCCGGAGTTCACTCAAACCGTAGCCATCTTTGTTGTCATTGAAGAGTTCCGTAATTGTGTTTCTGCTGGACTTTGTAACGAGGCGACCGTTGTGAAACCAACTCATCTTTCTCATCCTGACGTTATTATCTCGTGCGATACACTGGAGACGGGCTGGGGATCCCAAGGCAACGCGTTCACTCCCACGAATGAGTATCTCTGTCAAGATGATACCAAGAATATACATTGATGGTAAAAATGTCTGACTATTAAAATACCTTCAAATATATGTAATGTATGACAAAGCTTCAAGTAAAAGATTCTGAACTGTTATTCGATCTAAACACATGAAAAGTTTATTCTTTTCAATTGACTATTCTTAGTGAATTACTTTCATCAAAAGAAAATTCATAAGCCCTGAGTTCGAATACAACATTTCGTAGAACAAAATGCATATGTACCGAAGACTGGCGATTACTTTTTCTTACGTCTTGATGTGAGAATTGTTTTTAATTGAATAAATGTTGTTTTAATAAGGTAGGCTATTTGTGTCAACCTATACAATAAAGCTATATTCCGTGGAATTTAAAGCAATATGAGCTGACTTTGATGTCGGAATTTTTTGTCGCAAAATTGTAAAAAAAAAAAAAAAAAAAAAAAAAAATACTATTTTATTGACAAAAATAATAACTTTTCTAAACTTTTGTTGTTCAAATTTGCGATGGAAGAACTATTAATAAGCTTCGATTGAATCCAAATTCTATTATTGTCGTTCTGTACAATAATGATTTCTTATGTAAAACTGTATATTGGATTATATACAGAAGTCTTCCTTCAGATTCATTTTATTCTAATTGGTAATAAAGGTTTAAGTGACATACAAATTTATCATAATTACACATAATAACACATTTTAACAGAATAAGTTTTTATCGAAAGCAACGGTTCGCAAAATCATATGTTAACATTTGAAATTCACCTGAATTAAATTTCGATAAATGAACTTGAAGCAAAATATCTTACCTGAATTTGCACATGCTGTAAAAAACACCACTATCGTGAAGACAAGTAGACTTTTGACTTTCATAATTTGGACTGCTTGTTCTAAGGTATTGTTTCGAAATGCCCAAGTAATCTGCAATTGCCACATGTTCTCGGAAAATTGAATATTTTATTCATACGTGTCATGACAAAATGTCACAGCTATTATTTCTACTTTTATCTTTATCACCAACCGCCGAAAGGGAATCTAAACATTCTCTCTCTCTCTCTCTCTCTCTCTCTCTCTCTCTCTCTGATTTCAGTTTGTATTGTTTAAATGAACTAGAACGTGTTTATTGTTTTTTTTTTCCTTCATGTATTTCATTTTTCAATTAAAAGTGCTATTTTCGACGTTAAAAAACATTTGGAATTTCTGGGATGAGCATGCAGATAACGATCAGTTTTCAAGATCAAAAGTCCATAAAACAATACAAAATAGGAGCGTTTTAACCATATTATTACAAAATAGGCTATGGAGGAGCAAAAATCCCCTCCCGACCGGTCACACCCGCCGTGTGCTTCTTGTCGTCGGGAAATAACGGAAAAATCCGTCGTCAATTCAATGTGTAAATAATGAACTAACGATTAGAATGAAAAACTTCGGTAAGCATTTGATTCAATGATAAATTGTATTTGCTGACAATGTCATTGTACCGACCATAGAACTTACGAAATGATGACTTTAAACGAGACAGCTGAATTGTCGTTTCATTAACTTGTTTTTTAAATACTTTACCTCCTATTAGAAATTGTTCATAAGTAGAGCATGTTCTAGCGAATCAAAATTTATTATCACCATTTTTTCTAAGCATTTTGTAGCACAACATCTGAAGTTTCTCCTTACAAAAGTTTATAATTGCGGAAAAGTAAAGATAGAGACTTGTTGGAGGAGTTTTTGGAGGCAGTGATTATATTTTTGTAAGATGATTTTATCAAATCTGGGATTCCAGTATAGGTTGTGTACATCGCACTTTTCTTCAATAGTTAAATATAACAAGCAGTGATCGCTCACATAAAATCTTTAAATAATACAAATCTCTAAAGAAAGCATGAAGCACGGAGCACTGGGAATTCCAGAGGTTGGATCAGGTGCCTAGGGGAGGGAAGCATCCCCTGTTGACCGGTCACAGGTAGAATGAACAATCTGTAGTCAAATCTAATATTAGAGCAAAGGCCTTATAATAAGTGTGAAACACTTCAGCCAAATTACAACCTAATGATGGCTTATATTTGCTTAGTACGTAGAGATTTACAAAATGCCGACATTAAATGAGGTTGTTAAAATCCATATAGCATGCTCTTTAGTATCTAATAATTTCGGAAATACTTATTACCATATACATGTAATAGCCGGAAATCACTACATAAATAAATTATCTAAGAGCAAGAGCCATCTTATACATAAAATGGCCCTGTACTTATATCAATTAATCAACTATCACTCTCTTTCTCATTTCATATATGAACATAAAGTAGACACTTGGTGCTTTCATTTTCTATAATAAAATTTTGTTTTGAGAATCCACATATTGGAAGACAAGCTTTGAGAAATTGCAATGTTCTTGAAATTTGCAGAAAACGTGCGTATTTGACTACATTGAGCAAAGAATTAATATATGAGCACAGCCCACGATCCAAAAAATAAAACATGTTTTTTGATGTTCAGAAACTGAGCTTTCATTATGATTTGCATATTTTGGATCAGAGGTTGTGCTCTATATGAAATATTGAAAAAATGCTTCAACTTTAGGTCATTTTCAAAGGAATTTACAGGATATGAGGAAAATGACGCATTTTATGACGTCATAATGCATTTACTAGATGTGAAATTACGTCACAATTAATAGATACGTGGTCACCCATACTCCAAGTGATAAATGCTGCATTTGCAACCTAAACTGAGCGGTTTTGATTTTTCAGAAATTCTCAGGGCCAAATAAGGCCCAAAGTGGCTCTTGCTCTTTGTTATACAATTTAACTGTCAATTGGCCCTTATCGCCTATTGTAGTAAAACATTCAAATAGGAAGCCAGTGTGAAAGTCTTTATGGTGACGTTTTATTTTAAGTTCACTGGTTATATGAATAATTTAATTCTGGTTGTAACACTGTATTTGATTGGATAAAAAATTTACTTTATATCGTATAAAATGGGTTGCCTACGTCACAATGGCTTGCGTCAAAAACGTATCAATCCGCCTGACGTTACATTCAAATTTTGCACAAATTGAAGTCATTTTGTCAGAACAATCATCTTTTTTCTTACATCAAATGAATGAAAATTAAATCATAATCAATGAAATTAATAGCTACCCATTTTATACGGTATAAACTGGGTTAGAACAGTTTACGCTTTTTTTATAAACCGCTTCGCGGTTTAGAAAGCGTAAACTGCCCCAACCCAGTTTATACTGTATAAAATGGGTAGCTATTAAATTCATTCCTTAATTAAAAGTAATTATTATACCTCTACTCTTATTACTCTATATGAATTTAATTAATACCATAAATCTGCCTATTTCCCCGAAAAGAGACTATTTTTCCCATCTGAGGACTACTCCCTGGAAAATCAGAGCTACTCCCTGGGACTATTCTCTCATGAATATTAATTAGTAATTTTAACCAATCAAAGTGTTCAGTGGGCAGAGCGTTCAAGGAATCTCGAGTCCGTGACGTCATGTTTTTAGCAATGTAACTATGACGTCAAAACATTTCGACATGCGATCTCAAAATCATACTTGAATTCTAGCAAAATGAAGACAACGATAATTCTTCGAAATGTCAGTGAAAATACTTTTTAAAAAATAATTTAATTGTTTCTGGACACGATGCATTACTTATCATACAATATGCTAAACTGCATGCATTAATTTTGTCTCTACAGTTTTTTTTTAATGTCGGAATATCTGGTAAAAAAAAAATTAAATCGCCTATGATTATTTCGGTATAATAAAGCAGTTATGGAATGTGAACTCGGAAAATAGCAAATTTATGGTTCCCCTCGGCAGGAAACTATTTCCTCCCTCGGGGAACCATAAATTTGCTATTTCCCTCGTACTCATTCCATAACTGTATACTATTGATTGATAATACACCAAGAAATATTTTTAAATAATTTAATTCTGGTTGTAACGCTGTATTTGATTGGATAAAAATTTACTTTATATTGTATAAAATGGGTTGCCTACGTCACAGTGACTTACGTCAAAAACGTATCGATCCGCCTGACGTTACATTCAAATTTGTACAAATTGAAGTCATTTTTTAGAACAATCATCTTTTTTTCTTACATCAAATGAATGAAAATTAAATTATAAGCAATGAATTTAATAGCTACCCATTTTATACGGTATAAACTGGGTTGGAACAGTTTACGCTTTTTTATAAACCGCTTCGCGGTTTATAAAGCGTAAACGCCCCAACCCAGTTTATACCGTATAAAATGGGTAGCTATTAAATTCATTCCTTTACTATCGAGTTGAAGGTCACAGCAAGTGTTTTAAATTCTTCTCATGAAGAATTTTTTTTTTCATAAAGTCTGCTTCATATGAATGTAAAATCAAGTCTGTAAATAAGAATAACAATACGATAAAAAAGCTATATTACATCGAATTAGGTTATGTTGTGATGTTGTTTAAATATAAATTGCTCATACGGCATATTATACATGTATATCCGTAGTAAAGCGTTAAGTATACTACTAGCATTTCAGTCAAACTGTTTAGTAATGGAGGAAAGCTAACTTAGTATAAACAACAAATCTTTACTCTTGAATTTTAAAATAACAAAGAAATATTTCTCAAGTTCGGCATTTTCAATTCACACAGTCTGTTTTGATTTTCTTTTCTTTTTCATCTTTTGTTTGGAAGGAGCGTTGCTTTTCGAGGGCGATTTCGGTTCCACACTTTTTCCTTTCCGTAAGCACTTTCCAAAAACTAAGATACAAACAATGGACACAAGTAATATAAAAATCATATCCAACACGGTTATAACCATCAGAAAGATTTCATACCCTTCTATGTCTTCTGTATCAGATATCACAAGTGGGTGAACAAAGATGAACAGAGCATTTATGAAGGATGTTAACTTAAACACAATGAAAATTCTCATCCAGTAGCGATGAAAATTGACGTTACAGCAAAATTCCATTAATGACACAACACTGGCAAATATCAACACAGCGATGACGTAAACTCCAAAGAGCACCTGTCCAAACCAGTGGTCAAGGTGAAGGCCATTGGTGTCGATACTCATAATAATGAGTTCCACGGCGTCAATTATGTATCCCACCCAAATCCTGGCTATAAAGCAGGTCTTCTTTTCAAAAGTATGACATAAATTAGCAAGAGATTTCAAAATAATAAAAGTGATGTCCAAAATATCTACGACGTCTGAACTTCCACTTCCCAAGTCTACACTGTCCAAACAAGGCAGATTCACCTCTACTTTGCAGCATCCCTTCAGTGGCATGGTACTGAATGGTAAAGAGGGAAATCCAAATAATTGAAGAGAAATGTTACGGACAGGTGTATTTAGCTTGTCCGGGGATTAAATGCAGGACACAAGATTCGGTCTTTGTGGGTATTTAACTAACATCTTTAAATCATTATCTGTTAAAATTAATACTTATTTAAAGAAATAATATTGGTATTAAGAATTTTCATTCACTCAATAGTTTTCTATATTTTAAATAGATATCATTTTTAGTCGGCTTATTTGTTGTACAAACATGCCGCAAAATATAATTGATTTGTTTATTTGTCAAATTTATCAGAGTATTTTGACTTTGAGAATGGTTTGACGATTTATTTTAGTAAATAAATTTTAAAAGTTGTGTTCATTAATTTTTTTTATTTCTGAACAACAATATATTCAAAAAGTGGTGTAAATCAGATGTGGATACTTAAAAATCTAAAGAACTTTTGAACAATTTGAAATAAAAAGATTTTACAAAACTCAGCAATTCAAAACCTTATGACTTGTACACTTTTACACAACCATTCCCCACGATAAATTGAAGTCCTGGCTTTTTCATATCATTCACAGCTGCTTTTTCAATAAAAATGGAACTCGTAAATGTACTTATCTTGTCATTTGCAAAATTATTTTGCTAAAAAACATTCTGATTGTATACACAAGTACTCTAAAGTTGAAATCAAAAAGATGCTTGAGTATCTGAGTAACAATATGTATGT